AAAAAAAAAAAAAATAAACAACCAAAAAAAAAAAACCAATCGCGAAAATATTTTCAAAGAAAAAACTGATCGCAAAGGTGTGAAAAGCAATCGTGATACTCTTATTTCGAGCCCTTTAAGTTGTTAGAGGTTAAAAGAAAGCTTAGGATCATCTGTTTGACATTTTTCAGCTTTTTTTCAAGAAGTTCATTCTCAACTACTTTTTTTACAACCAAACAGCTCTTTGATGATGGCCTTTTAGATTAGATGCTGCCAGAAATTGATTATCTTTATTATATTTGGCTATATTTCTTTGATGCCAATGTTTACAAGTTTCTTCCAGCTTCTTCTTTTTCCAATAGCGTTTCCCTGACAACTTTTCAGTTCACATTGATACCATTCATTGGTACCAAATATTTAGATCCAAACCAGGCAAAACATGGCTTTCTCTCTGCCTTCATCCCTCACTTTTTTGGTAAATTTACTAGAGCCTTGCTAATTTCATTATCTGGTGGCGTGATCTCTATGCCAAAAACATTTTTTCAATTTTTTATTTTGGCACACTGACACTACTTGATAATAATTTTTTGGCACACTGACAATACTTGACAATACTTGATAATACTAACAATACTTGATAAAGTATTAGCAGTTTCATGTTAGTAAGTTTCTTCAAAACTGGACCAATCAGCTAGATATTAGCTTCACTTTGTGTCTGAATCTTAGATAAGGATGACTGATCCATATCAGTATCCATATCAGTATTTTCCACTAAAAAATAAAAGCACAGATATAAAAATACAAAGTGCAACTGGAATATTACATGAAACTTGAGTTCATTTTATGAAAATTATGTAAAAAATACACAGAAAGTTTATTTTAAAACTAAACAAACAAATTAGTATGTAAAAATTAAAAAAAAAAATGATTAGTGAATTTTTGAAATTATTGAAAGTACAAAAAAAATGATTAATTTCAAAAACAAAATTCATCCTGAGTAGCCTATAAAATACCTAAAATCAAGACTTTTTTTTTTCAGAAATTAGGGTGTAGTTATTTCTTTAAAGTTTTTAAAAATGTTATAAAAATTGAAATATGTATAAATTTAAAAAATGCAAATTTTCTTGACGTCACATTTAACCTCTTTGAAAATTCGTATAAACTTTTCAAAAAACTGAATGATGATTTATTATAGGGTTGTAGTAACAGTACTGAAAACAGCCAAACTGAACTTATTTAAAAAGGGAGTTTCAGGATTATTATCAAAATAGAGAATAAAATTGCAATTGTAAAAAAAGAAATAGTATTAAAAATCCTAAAAGCAGTATAAGATCGAAATTAGAAAAAAATGATTAACATCGAAATAATTAAAAATTGAATAGTCGAAAATTTAAAAAATAGTTATGATTCAATTTTTTTTAATTGATCGACTGCCTGCCCAAACCAAACCCTCAGTCAGTGTAATAACATTCCTTGTATCTTCTACCTATTTGTCAGTTGATGTAGCAACACTTCTTGCATGTTTTACCTCTTTGCTAGTTTTTCAATATTATTCCTAAATCCATATTTCAATATTATTCCGTATAGGCATTTTCAACATTATTCCTTCTAAATGAATTTCAATTTTTTTTTTCATTTAATTCCTCTAGAATAATTTTTGGTATTATTCCCAAAAAAACATTTCTATCAAAACTTTAATTCAGATAAAACTCAATTTTTTTCGGCCAATCGTTATCGCAATAGTTTAGACCTTCCTATATTTATGGACGGTAATGTACTCGATGAGTCTCCTACCCTTCATCTTCTAGGATTAACCCTCACTTCTGATCTTTCTTGGAAACCTTATATCAAATCCGTTGCGAAATTAGCATCTGCTAAAGTTGCATCTCTTTATCGAGCTCGTCTCTTTCTTACCCTGGATTCTATTCTCTATCTCTATAAATCTCAAATCCGGCCTTGTATGGAATACTGTTGCCATATCTGGGGCGGATCTCCTAATGATGCCCTTTCTCTTTTAGACAAGGTGCAAAAACGCATTGTAAACATAGTTGGACCTGCTCTTTCAGCCAACCTTCAACCTCTGTCACATCGTCGTAACGTTGCTTCTCTTTCTCTTTTCTACAAATACTATAATGGGCACTGCTCTATAGAGCTAGCGTCTCTTGTGCCATCTACTAAAATTCACTCTCGCGTTACTTGTCATTCAATTAAGTCTCATCCTTTTTCTGTTACTGTTCCTAAATGCTCCAAAAACTCTTATTTGTCTAGTTTTTTCCCCCAACATCAGTTCTTTGGAATTCGCTTCCTTCATCTTGCTTTCCTGATTCATATAATTCGCAATCTTTTAAGTTGTCTGTCAATCATTATCTTGCTCTACAATCTTCATCTTTTCTCTTCCAGTAACTTCTAACACTAATTAGTGGTTGCTTGCAGCCTTGTTGGAAGCAAAGATAATAAAAAAAAAAAAAAAAAAAATTTAATACTATTCTGCTTTCACTTATTATATATTAATGATAACTCAAACCATCTACTCCTAATTCTAAAACAATTTTAATTAATAACAAGCTTAGCCAAAACTTCTCTTATAAAAATCTATTCAATTCCTCTAAGGTTGTAGTTTTCCTTAGAAAGTTGTAACTGTAAACAAAAAACTCTTTCCAATGAGTGGAAAATGTTTATCAAAAATTTGTGATATAGAAATATGTTGATTCTTTCAAGAATGTACCTGATAAACAATATATTGGTTTAACAGAGGGTAAATGGAAAAAGCTTTTTTCTAATCATTAGGAATAATTTAATAACAAAAACTATTTATAACATAAACATAAGCATTTATAACATAAATAATATAATAATATAAACAAGGGTAGGTATAACATTTCATCTTTCATTCATGGAACTGATCTTATAATCTCTCCCAAGGATAAGTCAGAACTATTTGCAAAGAACTTTTTTTCTAATTCGACTTTAAAATTCTTATGCCCATTCTCTTCCTTCCATTCCAAATAAACAGGTTAACCCATTGTTAGACATTCAAATCGCTTCCATTGCTAAAGTCATATCTTAATTAAACTCTTCTATGGCTTGTGGTCCAGGGAACATTCCTGTCATAGTCTTACAAAGTTATTCTTTAGAGCTCTTTTCAATTCTCTCTAAAATAATAAATGTTTGACTGAATCTTGTTTTTGTGCCTGCTGGAAAAATGATATCTTTTGTTCCAATTTTCAAAAACTCCAGTGTACATTCTTACCCCTTCAATTATCATTCAATCAGTCTTTTTTCTGTTATTAGCATGGTCTTTAAGTCTTTGATTAACAAATTTCTCACATCCCATCTTGAGTCAAATAACTTACTGTCAGACAATCAATACGATTTTTAATCTTCTTTCTCTAAGGCTGACTTGCTAACTGCTGTAACTGAAAGATTTTATTGTGCATTTGATGGAGAGGCTAGGGGTATTGTTCTTAACATATCTAAGGGTTTTGATAAAGATTAGTATGCTGATCTTCTTGATAAGCTTATTGCATATGGTGTATCTGGGAATATTTTTGAGATTATTAAATCATTTATTTCTAACCGCTGTATTGAAGTCAACCTCAAAGAACACTCTTCTTCATTTCCAGTAACTTCTGGTGTACCTCAAGGTTCTATCCGTGCTCCTGTTTTTTCTTATCTACATTAATCTTCCTGACAACCTTACATCTAAAGTAGTTCTTTTTGCTGATGACTCAACTTTATACTCCTGTCTTGACAAAAAGTTTTCTCTTTTTAAAAGCTTTGAACAGGCAGTCTATCTTGAATCTGATTTCACTTCTGTAACAAATTGTGGCTCCCAGTGGCTTGTAAATTTAAACTCCAACAAAGCTCAGTTATTTACTGCAAACAGCATCACAATACTGTCGACATAACAATGAATGGCAACTCTCTCACTGAGTCTACTTCTTTACATTTTTTTGGATTATTGTTATTACTAACTTTACATGGAAACCATTTATACAATCGATTGCCAAATTAGCATATATATATATATATATTTTTTTCGTTATTTACCACTTCAAGGATGAAAGGGTCACTACAAATGAGAAGGCTACTAGTGGTTATAACCCTCCCTCAAATTTCTAACTCCGAAACATGAACCTTAATGAACAAGGCTGCTGCGAAGAGAAACAAGTTGAAATATGCTAAGATTTTCTCTTTATTGTGCTTGCCATTTTCCATGATTCCATTCTCTACCTCTACAAATCTCTTATTCTTTCCTGTATGGAATACTATTGTCATATTTGGGCTCGTTCTTCTAATAATGCTCTTTCTCCTCTAGACAAGGTCCAAAACTTTTAATTGTAGTTGGACCTGCTCTATCTGCTAAACTTGAACCTCTTTCCCATTATTGTAAAGTTGCACCTCTTTCTCTTTTCTAAAAATACTATCATGGGTGCTGCTCAAAGAAATATCATCTCTAGTTCCATCAACTAAAACTCATTGTCGTTTGACCCATCATTCAGCAAAGTCTCTTTCTTTTATGAAAATTATTTTTAAAATAGTGTCGACATATTTCACAAATGTGTGACATATTACAGTAGTTATTACTTCCTGTAATTTAAATTTTTGTTATATATTGAAGTTTTATTTATCTTATCATTTATTTCTAATTTTCTTTTTTATAAATTTGATTAGTGATTTTCTTGTTTTATATATATATATATATATATATATATATATATATATATATATATATATATATATATATATATATATATATATATATATATATATATATATATATATATATATATATATATATATATATATATATATATATATATATATATATATATATATATAAGAATGTAATAATAGTGATTTTTTTTCATTCTATAAAAAATTATATTTTATATGTTTATTTATTTTCTCAAACCAAACATATTTCAAATAGTTATAATTTCTTTTTATTATTATTATTATTAGGAAAGTCAATATTTTTTTTTAGTATTTTTGTTTTCTATTGTATTTTTATATTTTAGATGAAAAGTACATTCTCATTGGTAAAACTCTCAAAAATTATGGTATATATCGAGTTACTTATTTTGGGCAGATGGTAGACAATGTCACAAAAGAGGTTGTTGAAGATACAATATCCATGAGAATAGGTTACTTCAAGGTTGTCCCTTGTCCTTTACAATTAATTATTGCTGGTGGATATGAGAAAACATTTCAGCGAGGAGATGGTAAGTTAATATAAAAAGTAAAAAAGCTTAATGAGTAGTGTAAATGTTTTTTATTCAATTTGTGAATGAGTTAAAAAAAAAGAAGAATGTGAGGAGAGTTTGATGGGAGGATTAAGAATATATATATAATTCAACAAGGTTGTATTGTTGTATTAAAAATTCAAAATCAGATTTTTATAATTAAATTGGTAATAAAATTTTATGTTTTTATTGTTGCTGGTTCTATGACGTATGTGTTATTGAGGTGTTGTTTTGTCCAATTTAATTGTTTAGTACAAGAATGTATTGTAATGAATGTACAAGAATGTAATATATGGCCTTGTTCGTCGAGGTTTGTGTTTCAGAGTTATAGAGTTGAGAGAGGGTTATAACCACAATAATAGTAGCCTCCTTGCTTGTAGTGGGCTTCTTGGCCTCGAGGAGATGAATTAACAAAATAAAAAAATAAAAAAATTAATTTCTTAATAATATTATTACTAATATTGTTATATTATTTTTATTTATAATCAGAAATAGTAATAGATGCTACACGAAGTCATGACCCTGACAGTGACAGCAAGCTTGATGTTAAATGGTTTTGTGCTCGCAGTGGTAACTTTAGCGGCTTAGATATTTATAAAGTTAAAGAGAAAAAGAGTTACCCTGTGGTTGATCCAAACACTTACAAAAGCGAAAATTTTCTTTCAAAAGCATGCTTTTCAAATTCAGAAGGATCAGCAATACAAATGAATGATAGAGGTAGTTAAACTTTATAAGTTTAAGTTTAATTTATATAACAAAGTTTTGGAAATTTTTTTTCAATAGATAAATTATTAAGTAGATAATAATAAAAAGTAGTAATAATAATATATAATACAGTAATAATAATAAATAGTATACAGTAATAATTATAAATAACAGTAATGATAATAAAAGATTTTATTCAAAGAAAATATTTTGCTATTAATATTAATTATTGATTTGGTTTTTATATCTGACAAATTTAATTGTCAAAATTTCCAAGTTGGTTTCTCAAGGTGATGAATATGGGTAAAAAAAAAAACTCAAAAAAGTTACTACATGTTTGATGCTGCAAAAGTATCTCATGGTCTAAAGCAATTCTGCTATAAAGTAAATGAACACTTGCAACTTCTTTATTTAGTAGCCAGAAAAAAAGTTTTGATTGCATTCAACAATTTTAAAAGCTTACTTCAAAAAACAACTGATAATTGTGAGATATGTCACAACTTTTTCACTATTAGAGTAGCAAATCCTTGAAACAATATTCATCAAATCTTAAATTTATATTGCTTAATATATTCATTTGTAACTTGCAGCTGTATTAATTAATGTACCTGACTATTTGGTTTTTTATTTTTATTCCACTGTTATTATTATTATTATTATTATTACTTTTTTAGGGTTATTATCACTAAAATTGGTTCTTCTAAGTAAGTATTTATGGTATTATTGTTATGATTTGCGTTTGTTAATCATGAAACGTTATGATCCATTCAATCGCCAAGCCATTGGAGATGTGACATTATGTTTAACTGAAAAAGAACCCTTATATGTATCTGTGAAGTATGAATTTGTTGCTTTTTTAACTTAACTTTGAAATACATAATAAATATTTCAAAATGAATTATATGTGAATATCTAGAAATATAAATAAAAACGATGTTTAAAAGATAAAAAACATATAACAAAAGTAAATAAAAACTATAAAGTTAAATGAATATGAAATCTGCAAGTTAAATACTATAATGGGCACTGCTCTTTAGAGCAGTGCCCATTATAGTATTTGTTGAAAAGAGAAAGAGAAGCAACATTACGATGATGTGACAGAGGTTGAAGGTTGGCTGCAAGAGCAGGTTCAACTATGTTTACTATGCGTTTTTGTACCTTGTCTAAAAGAGAAAGAGCATCATTAGAAGATCCGCCCCAGATATAGCAACAAAGCCAGAATTGAGATTTATAGAGATAGAGAATAGAATACGGAGTGAAAAAGATTCGAGCTTGATGATGAGATGCAACTTTAGCAGATGCTAATTTTGCAACAGATTTGATATACGGTTTCTAAGAAAGAGCGGAAATAAGAGTTAATCCTAGAAGATAAAGGGTAGATGACACATCAAGTACATTACCGTTCACAAATATATGAAGGTCTAGATTATTGCAATAACGATTGGCTGAAAAAAAATTGAGTTTTAATGCCACCTTGGATGTGATAATATCTGAAAGATTGTTAAATTAAATTAAAAAGATTATAGGGCACCTTGAGGAACCCCTGAGGTTACAGAATAAAAAGGAGAGTGCTGTCCATCAAAGACAACTTTTATACTACGATTGGAAATGAAGGATTCAATAATCTTAAAGATGTTTCCAGATACACTGTAAGAAGTAAGCTTATGGAGAAGACCATCATACCAAACTTTATCAAACGCTTTAGAAAAGTCAAAAACGATGGCCTCAAACTCTCTACCTTTATCTAATAAAACCTATTGTTATTACTATTAGCAAATCAGCCGTAAAACGAGAAGATCGAAATCCATACTGATGATCAGAAAGTAAGTTACTAGATTCAAAATGAGAGATTAACTGTTTGTTAATTAAACATTCAAAAACCTTGCTTATGATAGGAAGAAGACTAATGGGACAGTAGTTTGACGAATTAGATCGCTCTCCAGAATTTTTCAAAATAGAGATAACAGATGCTGCTTTCCAGCCGGCTGGAAAACAAGCACTTGTTGAATAGTTTTAAAAGGATAGATGAAAGCTCCGGAGAACACTTTTGCAAGACTATAACAGGTATGTTGTCCAGGCCACAAGCTGTAAAAGAGTCTAAGCAGGAAATCACTTTAGAAACAGAAGCTATAGTGATACGAATGTCAAGCAGTAGACCAACTTGTTTGAAAGCTATATCAGGTAGAACGCATCTAGTGGAACCGAGAATTGATATTGATGAAAAGTTCTTAGCAAACAATTCAGCTTTGTCTTTAGGTGAGGTGACAAAGTCTGAACCATACAAAAGAGGTGGAATTACAGACTTGCCCTTATTATTGATACTATTAAAGATTCTCCAGAAGTCATGAGAGCCTATCTTTTCTGATGAAATACGAGATTTCATTACCTGAGAATAGTGGGATTTGGCATTAGACAAAACCTTTTTACAATGGTTCCTAGCAGTAATAAACAGACGTCTGTTTTCTGGAGAATTGTTTTGCTGATAGATATGGAAGTAGTAGTTTTGATTGGCAATTGCAGCAGCACAATGTGAGGAAAACCATGGAGAAGAGTGAGGCTTGACCTGGAATCGTCGAGAGGGAATAAAGGATTCCATGCCAGCCTGAATCCACAAAGTAATGTTAGAAGCACATTTGTCAACAGGAAGACAAAAGATTTCTACCCAAGGGCCATCACCGAGAAAATCACGGAACGAGTCCCAGTCAGCTTTAAGGTAGTTGTAAGATGTACAATGATCAGTGATTTGTGATGATAATGAAGAATGAGATAATAGTTTTTGATAAGATAATGAAGAATGAGATAATAGTTTTAATGAAGAATGAGATAATAGGGTTGGTCAATATGATCAGAAATAATATCAAGAAGAGTGCAGTCTTGAGATGAAGGAGAGTGATATAGAAGAAAATGAAAGGCAATAGAGTGAAGTGGTGCTAAACAAAAGCATATAAAAGAGTAATTTGTGGATTCAAACCTAGTTTCCCAACAAATAGGTGAACTGTTACGAATGTAAATGCCTAGGCTAAGCATGTGACTATTGGAGTCTTTACGAATTAAAGGAAGATGACCATCAATACTAAGATCACAAGATGAGACAGCTGAACTTAAATTAGTCTCACAAAGAGCAATTATATCTGATGAACTTTGCAAGAGATAAGACTCAGCAGAAGAAAAGTTACTTTGAAGACCACGAATATTAGTGAATAATAGGTTTAGCGAACTTGGTGATTACAGTGGTTTTTTTTGTTTTATAGTTTTTGTTACTTGATTCAGTTATAAATTTGTTAAAGAACTTGACTCAAAACATAGATATTACTCAGTACTCTGTTTAACAGCCCAAGCAATTGCCTTATTACTATCAATAAACCCTAAGCCGTAACAAAAGGCTCCAATGTGGCCTTGGCAATGCACACCAAAAGTACAAACAGTGACACCATTCATGCGCAACATTGCACTCTCAATACTTTGATATTTTTCAGCTGTTGATGGAATCAGTCTCTCTGAGAGCTACCACAGAGTTCGGGAAAGCCTCAGAACCATAAAACTGAGCTTTAGAGCTGTACCCTCATTAAGAGATAATAGAATGAGTTGTCTAGTCCTAAAACAGAGATAAAAGCAAATCATTTGCATCGAGTCAAGAAGATCCTAGCATTCAACATCTTAAACTGGAAACAATGTATTCAAAATCCATAACCCAACAAAATGACTTGCTTTTAAACAAAGTAGTGATACTTAGAACTTGCTTTTAAATAAAGTAGTGAACCAAATTGAAAAAGTTGACACACTGTATTATTAACAACAATATTTATATAGGTGTTTACAAAGATTAAAATTTACAGCAATTTTAAGATCTTTCAGGTGTCTTTAAATGTGATAAGTTTTGATTTCAGGTTTCAAGCCTTCCCAGGAAAGGCATGTTTTTTGTCTTGTATGACCACGCAAGAGTATTTTATTTTAGACAACTTGATCACTGCCGTTTGCAAGTTTTATAATATTAATTGAAAAAGGTTTTAAAAACAAAAAAACAAAACTAACAAAGTAGGAAACAAAAAGAAATTTAAATAGAAAAAAATAAAAATAAAATATTAGTTTAAATAATTTATGTACTGTTTTCATTTTTGTTTCTTTAGAGTGGTTGTTACATTCAGCAACAAAATTAGATAAGGTGAAGTAAAAAAGTCTACAATAAAAAAAATGATTTTCCTTTATTTAACTTTTTTTAAAGAGGAAAGCAAAAATATAAATTGTTGTTATATAAATGTATTTGTAAAATATCTTTATATAACAAGAGTTGAATTAAGCGATCATGAAATGCAATATCTGGAAAAATATCTGGTCTTCAAAATTTTAGTTTATACAAAAACATGTTCTTTGTTTTCAAAGGGTGAATCAACTTTAATTTGTTAGCGAAAAAGTTATAAAAAATAAAACAATAAACTTACAAATTCAAAAGTAATAACACTCTAGTGACTAACTGCGTTCTAAAAGTAATAACACTATAATAGTGTTTTTGTTCTAAAAGTAATAACACTATAATAGTGTTTTTGTTCTAAAAGTAATAACACTATAATAGTGTTTTTGTTCTAAAAGTAATAACACTATAATAGTGTTTTTGTTCTAAAAGTAATAACACTATAATAGTGTTTTTGTTCTAAAAGTAATAACACTATAATAGTGTTTTTGTTCTAAAAGTAATAACACTATAATAGTGTTTTTGTTCTAAAAGTAATAACACTATAATAGTGTTTTTGTTCTAAAAGTAATAACACTTTAATAGTGTTTTTGTTCTAAAAGTAATAACACTTTAATAGTGTTTTTGTTCTAAAAGTAATAACACTATAATAGTGTTTTTATAAAGCTGTTTAAGTGATTTGTGAAATTCCTTTTTCATCAGCAAAAGGCAAAAACCAGCTCTAATGAAACCAATTCTAATGTCTCTTTTTCCATTATTTTCATTATTTTCCCCCTTTTTACAGATTTTAATTAAAATATTTTTAACTCAAAAGGCAAATATGTTATTCCACCTCAGATTTTGTGTGGTTCAGATTTTGTGTGGTTCAGATTTTGTGTGGTTCAGATTTTGTGGTTCAGATTTGTGTGGTTCAGGTTTTATCACCTTTTGTCTTACCTAAAGACAAAGCTGAATTGTTTGCATCTCTCTATCGTGCTTGCCACTTTCTTACTCTGGATTATATTTTTCTCTCTATCCGTCTTTGTATGGAATATTGTTGCCATATCTGAGTCGGATCATCCAATGATGTCCTTCCATTTTTACAGTGCATTTTTGACAAGGTGCAAAAATGCACTGTAAACATAGTTGGACCTGCTCTTGCAGCCAAGCTCCAACCATTATCACATCATCGTGATGTTGCTTCTTTTTCTCTTTTCTCATTTTACTGTTCCTAAGTGCTCCAAAAACTCTTATTTGTTTAGTTTTTTTCCTCAACATCAGTTCTTTGGAATTCACCTCCTTTATCTTGTTTTTCTGATTCACATAATTTGCAATCTTTTTAAGTTGTCTATCAATCATTATTTTGCTTTGTAAACTTTATCTTTCAGATCAGCTTCCAGTAACTTCCAACTCTAATAGTGGTTGCTTGCAGCTTTGTTGGAAGCGAAGAGATTTATCCAAATGTATGTATGAAGACGCTCTTTAAAAATTTTTAAAAATTTAAAAAGAAAATAGCAAAAAAGTAAAATAGAAACTGTTCAATCCCCTTTACAACAAAAATGTTTTAACAAACATAGGAAAAATGTAAATAAATAATAATTAAAATTAGTAGGCAAACCTTTCCACACACACACATATATGTATATATGTATTTGCGTATATATATATATATATATATATATATATATATATATATATATATATATATATATATATATATATATATATATATATATATATATATATATATATATATATATATATGTATGTGTATATGTATTTATGTGTGTCAATATATATGTGTGTGTGTGTATATATATATTATATACAAAATGGTTTCTAAAACATAGTTTTGACATATTGGCCTTCACTAAGAATAATCCAGTTGTTTTTGCACAAAGAACATGTTATTTGGATTTCTAGTGCATCCCTAAATTTTCTTTCAAATTTTTTATTTTCTACCTTTATTGTTTTTGTTTTTTCCAAAATAATCTTTTCATTGTAAAAGGTTTTATGAAATGCTAATGCAGATTGATAAGGTTTCTTTTTGTCAATGCTCCTCTATTGTTGATGAATCCATATGTTTACCTGCATTTTTGTTTCACTTATGTAAACTTTGAAACATTTGCATTTTTAAAATATAGGTCCCAGACTGGCTGTTACTAGGTAGTTTTGATTTTTTTTTTATCTTAATAAAAATCTTAAATTTGGGTTTGAATTAGATACTGCTCTGTATCCTGTTTTTCAGAATATCTTTCAAAGTTTTGATGAAAGACTTGATACCCACTTGAAACCCAGGAATATGATTTGGTACCAGGAATATGATTTGGTATCTGGTACTCATTGTAACAAAGACTCTACAGGAAAATTATTGCATTCTAATTGAGTTGTATTTTCATTATGTCTTTTTTGATAAACTTTGTTCGTAATTTGATTGTGATTTGAATGTGGTTTAAACTGAATGTTAAATAGGTTCAGTGCAGTACTTCCAGTGGCATAGGGTGGATTTATACATAAAATAACAATTACTTTCCATTTCATTGTTAATTATAGTCAATATAAATTGATTAATTTTTTATTATTTTGTTCATGTTTTATTTTTATTTTATTATACAATGAATGATTTTTTTAGATGCGAACAAAATTGTGATGTCTTGATTAATCCCAGCTCAAAGTTTTCTATAAGTTCATCAATTTCAAATAAAGACAAATGTGAACAAATTATCTATAATTGGAAAGTTTTACGTACCTTTAAAACTGGGCTGAACTGTACATATGAAGATATTACAGAAGAACTTATAAACAAATCAACAACAAAGTTTAACCAGCGTAATTTTGTCCTCGGGCCTAATTCTTTAAACTCAAGTAATTTTTAAGTCAATGTTTTGTTAGTCAAACTTATTGGATTCTCTGTATTATATATATATATATATATATATATATATATATATATATATATATATATATATATATATATATATATATATATATATATATATATATATATATATATATATATATATATATATATATATATATATATATATATATATATATATATATATATATATATATATATATATATATATATATATAATACAGAGAATCCAATAAGTTTGATGTAATAAAAATTAATTCTCAAACACAGTTAACTCAAGTTATTTCAAGTCAAACACAGTTAACTCAAGTTATTTCAAACTGTTTTATTTAAATTGTCTAATCAATTACTATTAAAAGTCTCTGGTTGTTGAACCTCTAATCAAGTGAACTTTGTTAAGTAAAAGTTTTTTTTTGTCCTCTCTCAGCAAATTTCTTTGGATAACTCAAACTTTTTTAGTCATCCAAAGTCAGTCATTTTGACTGAAATAAAATTTAGGCTTAGGAAATGTGTATTCTTATGTAAAACTAAGTTTTAAAGTAGGATTAGAATTTTATTTAAAAAACATTTTGATTCAAAATTTTTACATTCAGATTATAAATTGTAAGCATAGTTAAAAATGATTTTTAGAAATTTTTAAAATTTTTTCTGAGTTTCTGAAAGGAAATCTTAGTTGCTGGGGAAAAATAGAAGTCATTGAATGGATAAGAACCATGACAAAAGTAAATGAACATAGCAAAAATAAAAGAGCACAATATAAAACTTTTTTTGAAGTAACTTTTTTTGATAAGCTAATAATTGATAATTTATAGATATATATAAAAAAAAATGCATACTATTTTTAATGAACAAGAGTTGACAAAAATAAAAATAAAATAGTTTTCTTTTATAGATTTATTGGTTTCACCCACAAGTGTTATAATTTTTAATATTGCTACAAATTTTTTAATTTATCTAAAATTTTCTTATGCACAAATGATATTACTTTTGGTGGCATTCTTCTAAATTAAGCAAATAAGTCATAGCTGTTGCACAGAAAATCAGCTTCAACTTATAGTCCTAAAATTATGAATGCAGTTCTTATTAACTTGATGAAAAGTAGCATCAACTGATAGCCTAAAAATTATGTTTGCAGTTCTTATTGGTAACTTGATGAAAAGAAGTGTAACTTGATGAAAAGAAGTTTAAGAAGTCTTTAAGAATATTAAGTCCCTGACCTTTAAACCTATGACCTTTTCCTTATAACATGTAGCCTTGCACTTGCTATTATTGGACTTGTTAACAACTTGTCCAAACAAAAGCCTTAGACTTTATAACTTTTTTGTATCAGGTGAGGATGATGAGAATGAGGATGATGAGAATGAGGATGTGGAAAAATCACTTTTCAAGCTAAATTAATGCTCTCATATTAATATAAAATATTTTCATAAAATTTCATACAAAATTTATTTCAATCGAGAAAAAAGCTTATAAGTAAAGAGTTGACCAACAAGCAATAAGCAACGAGCATCTAACAATAAAGAAATTTCTCATTAATTTTTCTCACTTTCGCCCTGTACTCAAAAGTATTGCAAGTGTTGTTCAAATTTTTTAAATAAAATATTGGTGTTCTGCAAAAAGATAACAAAAAGTTATCTTTTTGCAGAAGGATCAATTCTAAATGATAGATAACAAACTTGAAATAAAAATAAAGAATTAGAATAAGTAACAGCTGCAATTAGCCAAAAATAAAAACCATTTACAAGTTTTGCAAACTGATATAGTTTCATAGTTTTATAGATCCCATTTAAAAGCTGAATAGTTTTCAAAAGAGTAACCGGATGAAATGAAATGTGACATTAAAAACAACAACAGCAGATTGAATCTTTTAAACAAATTAATACTTGATGAAGCATAATGAATATCATCACGTTAAATAATAAAATTAATTGTTACTTTGTTCTGAGTTAAAACTTTACTTTTTTATTCTGACTGATTAAGACGAAAATGTTGTACATTAAAAATAAAATTATACATTATAAATAGCTTGATAATGGTAAATATTTATCTATAATATGCTTTACATTGCATACATTATCTTTGATACAGATATACTATCATATTATACAACTCTCGGAATTAAGAAAAATGAGGTCTGCAATTAATTGCCGACCTCAAACTGTCAGACATCAGGTCGGCAAAAATATTTTGACACAAAGGGTTAACCATAAAACATAGAAACAAGGTTGGCAAATTTTTGCTGATCTGAAACACTTTTAGGTCGGCAGTTAGGTCAGCATTGCTGAATGTCGACCCTAGTTTTGAGGGCTGTATTATATGTTTTATTATGTAACCAAATGTAACTAATTTGAGACATAATTTAGCTTAAAAATGGGGAGTTATTCCTAGAGTCCTAGAGTACTACCATAAGTAAATCATAGTTCACACATGTTTAGTAACAGAGGTATATAGTATACATCATAGTATACATTGTAGTATACATCATAAGCATACATCATAGTTCACACATATTTAGTAACAGAAGTAAAATAGAGAAATAAATATTTCAAATACGAAATATTGATTTGTTTTAAGATTAATTTTAATTTAAGTCAAGATTATTCAAAATTTAAACTAATCTAACTAATCTGCTAACTAATAAACTAATAAGATGTTAACTAATCAAGAAATCAGCTTTTTCTTGTTTTCATTTTCAATTTTTGAAATTTTAAAATTTAGAGATTTATTACCTTCATTAAACCCCACCTCCAACATTTTATTTTTTTCTTATGATGGTGATAATGATGATGATGATAATGGTGATGATGATGATGCTGATGATGATGATGATGATGATAATGATGATGATGATGATAATTATGATGACGATGATGATGATGATGATAATGATGATGATAAAGATAATGATGATAATGATGATAATAATGATGATGATGATGATGATAATGATGATGATGATGGTGATGATGATAATGATGATGATGATTATAATGATGATAATGATGATAATGATGATAATGATGATGATTATGATAATGATGATAATGATGATGATGATAATGATGATAATGATGATGATGATGATGATGATGATGATGACGATGATGATGATGATGAATATTTGCATTATTATTTTAAAAATATTTCCAGCTTATCGATACAAGTTTCGCGTTAACGCATCATGTTCAAAAGGGATTTTATCTGGTGCATCAGGAGCAGCAGCAGAAATAAAAGATGTTAACAATCCTCCAGATGTATCAAAGGCAACTTGTAGTGTGTATCCTAATAATGGTTCTGTAGCTAAATCAGATTTTGTCATAAATTGTGAAGGAGTTGAAGATGAGCATTATCCACTTTCTTATGGTTTTCAATACAATTGCAAAGATTCATGGGCTTTTTTAACTACAGCAACAACAGGTTAGATATAAATATCTTATTTTTTTAAAGGACTTAAAGAGCTAAAAAATTATGGAAAAAAAAGCTGAAAAAAGTGAAAAAAAATTGTTGCAAGGTTTTTTGTACAAATCATTACAAGGTTGTTTTTTAAATTTTTACAAGGTTGTTTGATCAAATTATTCATTTTCATGTTGTTGCATCAAATTCTTAAGAGGATTAGTTTAGTTTTCTGTTGTTAACAGAAATGTTTTGAAATAATTAATGTTTCAAAAATATTATCTTAGAAAAAGCATGTGTGCTTGGGGTAAATTTGAAAACTTTATTTGATTTCATTTATTCTTTAGTATTTTGGATTTAGATTATGCAGGCTTCTTTATTTAAAAATGGTTTTCTAACATTTTTTATCAGCCTTTTTTATTTTTGGTTTGACAAATTTCTTACTGTAATTATATCTGCAAGTTATCTGAGAATTTCTGTATTTATTTTTTCAATGTTAATGTTAAATGTTATGAAAATTAAACAGTTAAAATTTAGTTATCTTTTTGTTTTGTATTTTTTTTATTTTTTATTTTTATTCATAGTTAATTTATTTGATTTAATCTGTTTAATTTTAACATTTGATAGTTTTGAGTTTAATTTTTTTTTAAATACTTTTTGAATTAACAATTTTTTCAAACACAAATTATTTTTAAATATGTTGTTATTAATTATTTTTGATTAATACTTAATAACACAGGTCAACAACGTATTTTCAGCAGACATAGTTTTGCGTTGCCTGGATACAAATTTGACACTGATTTCATAATGGAAATGTTATATGGATTTTTTGAAAGGAATAATGTTTTCATTAATTCAAATGCTAAAGAAAAAACATACCTTTTATCTTTGCAGCATCAGATGTCTCATGCTTCAAAGCTGAATATAAATTTTTGCTCCTTTTGTAGACTGTAAGTTTGTCTTCAGCTTGTTTTGCAACATGGTTTAAATGAGGGAGTTTAGTTTTATTGTTTAACATCTCAAATGTGCAACACACATCTACTAGTGGGCATTCCAATTTTTATTTTTTATTGTAATAACTATTTGTAAGTAAAAAGATTTTCTAACCTTAAGACCTCTGTGAAATATATTGTCTCTTGGTTGCATTTGCTGAATGTAGGCTACACCAATAAGCTCTTCTAAGTACAAATTTTATTCATTTTTAGAATTTATGTTATAAAAAACAGTCAAAATGTCAAGGCAAGTCTCTTCTCATATTGATTTAGACATTTCCTGGAACAGCTAAAAAAAAGTATAGACCTAGGTGAAACCTTACTCTGCGTTATTACTTGGCATATCTCTGTAACGGGTGGTTACTAAAAATCCGGACAAACTTTAACTGAATTTTAAATGCCACAAGCTAAATCTTTTTTATTCATGTTTATATCCTTTTTATAGCTTATTTAATTCTTTATAAGTTAATTTTTTTTTTTAGGTAATTAATAATAATTTAAAAATAATGATGACCAAGCAAGAAGAGGTAAGAAAACAGATTTCTAGAACGAGTTCTATTTAAATAATAAATTGCAAGGTAAAAAGTTCACAGTAGCTCACTTCAATGCTGAAAAAATCCCAAGAAGCACTATCTATGATATAATCAAACGTGTTGAGAATGATTCTGGGCACAAAAGAGTGCAAGGAAGTGGTCGTGTGGCCAAAATCATGACCCCTAAGAGGATCAAGCACCTGAAAGCCATATTTGATCACAGTGACCGAGTTTCGATGAGGCAAGCTGGTCAAAAATTTGGATGCAGTCATTCACATATCATTAAAACTCTTGCCAAGTACACTGACATCAAAAGTTATACAAAACAGGGTATACCTCATCGACAAGAGAACCAGAATGAGCGAATCAAAACTGGCATTGATCATCCTTGACGATGAGTCTTACTTCACGCTGTCACACTCAACAATTAATGGAAACAGCACCTACTACTCTAGCAACAGAGACAAGACTCCACCAAGTGTTAAATATTGCAAAAAGCGCAAGTTCAAACCCAAGGTGCTTGTCTGGCTGGCCGCTTCTGACAAAGATGTTTCAAAACCATTTTTTATACCCAGCGGCCTTGCAGTCAATAAAGCCATCTATGAAATGAATTGTATTAGGAAAAGATTAGTGCCAGTTAGAACAAACTCTCTTGACCTCTTCTGTAGAAAAAGGTAAATTTTTAGATTTAACAAAGTGAAGCACACGAGTAACCCTTGGGTGACATAGACAGCTATGTATACCACTTAGGTTTGTTTGAGATTGGGTTGTAGCACAAAAATGCGGAAGGAAGTGCCGTTCATCAACGCTTATCATGCCGATGGTAATTACATATTTTGGCCGGACCTGGCTTCATCGCATTATGCCAAAACCGTGACCAGCTGCTACGAGACTCATAACATCAATTTTATCAAAAAAGTTGACAATCCGCCAGCCGTATCGGAGTGTCGCCCAATTGAAGACTTTTGGGCTGTTTTGAAAGGCAAAGTGCATGAGAGTAACTGGCAAGCAAAAGACGTGAAACAACTACAAACCAGAATAAAGCTTTGCCTGAAAAAAATTGACCTTAACCTTGTATTTTCACTTTTTGGGTCAACTTGTGTTAGAGTTGGCTGAATCCGAAGAAACAGACTGGTTGAAGACAAACTTAATTAAAATAAATAAATAACTAAAAACTCTTTTTAATGATAGTTTTATTTAATCTCTACCATAAAAACTTTGGGAGTAATTGCACTTGAAAGTTTGTCCGGATTTTTAGTAACCACCCGTTAATCTTAAAAACATAAGTTCAAACAAACATAGTGTCCAAATAAAAAAATATTTTAATTATTTTGGCATACATAAACAAAAATCTATATTAGCATTTGGAATGGTCGATTAAGTTGTACTGAATAAATAAAGCAAATATTGTTAAATAGGCGTTACCATAATGTCAATTTAACAATGTTAAGTTTGTAATTGCAATCTTAAAAATTATATTATCTGTAGTAAAGAATAATTAAATTTGTATTTGCAATTTTTAAAATTATATTTTTGTAAAATAGACAACATATAGGCTATATGTGATGCACTATATGATATGAATATATGATACAACATATAGACTGTTGTATAGAATAAATGAAGTAATACTTGCTTATATTTTTTGATTGTATTAAATATATGCTTATATATTTTAATTGATACTAAAATGTCAAGTTTTAAAACAATTTAAGTTTTAATTTGCCTGCAAACCTATTCTAAAAATTTAGCTGGAGTTTGTACATTATGATGGTGCACATAGGCATGAACCTTCTTTCATTTTGTTCCTATTATAATCACTATCATTTCAACTTTTTTTTTTTTCAAGGACATCATTTTCAAGCAACTTTTTAATACACTATAAACTTTGTTGAAGTTCCTTAAATAAAGTTTATTAGTCAAATAAACTACAGAATGAGTGTTACCAAAATGAGTGTTATTCGGTATCCTGCATGATTAACAACCCTTTAACAAAAATCAAGTACTGACTTATGGCCTTTTAACAAAAACTATGGTATTTGCTAGTTTATTGTATCATTATGGATACAGTTATAAACTTTCAGCAAACACAAATCACTGCATCTATCTTCAAACAATAAAAACCATATTAAACTCATTTTGACAAAATGCTTGACTCAGAAGTAATAATAAAAGATATCATAGAGAAAAGTAATTCAAACATACAACCAACTTTTAGCGTTTAGCGTCTAGCATTTTGGTTTAGCGTAAATAAATAGAATTACTGTTGAATAATAAAAAAAAATATATAAAAAAACTTTTTAAAAACAACAATATAAAAATGGACTAAAAAGGAAAAAATAAGCTGTTTCATGTGACCCAAGGCCTTTGTGTATGTACACAAACTAAAATATCCATTAAAGTCAACACTGAAAATGTTGGGCACCAATAGGAATGAGTTGTACTTAGTTTCCCAACATTTTCATTCTATGACTTTAATGGATGTTTCAGGTTGTGTACATATATAAAGTCCTTGGGTCCTGTGAAATAGTTTTTTTTTTTACATTTTAGTCCATTTTTTAAAATATTGTTTTTAAAAAGTATATATATATATATATATATATATATATATATATATATATATATATATATATATATATATATATATATATATTGTATATTATATTGATATATATTAATAATAACATGAATTGTTTTTTCTATAAGAAAGTTGTGCAATAGTTTTTTATAGTTTAAATTTAATGACTAATAAAGTTAAGTCTTATTTAATTATACCTATTTATGAGCCATATGAGTAATATAAACTTGATACTTCTATTTATGAGCCATATGAGTAATATAAACTTGATACTTCTATTTATGAGCCATATGAGTAATATAAACTTGATACTTCTATTTATGAGCCATATGAGTAATATAAACTTGATACTTCTATTTATGAGCCATATGAGTAATATAAACTTGATACTTCTATTTATGAGCCATATGAGTAATATAAACTTGATACTTCTATTTATGAGCCATATGAGTAATATAAACTTGATACTTCTATTTATGAGCCATATGAGTAATATAAACTTGATACTTCTATTTATGAGCCATATGAGTAATATAAACTTGATACTTCTATTTATGAGCCATATGAGTAATATAAACTTGATACTTCTATTTATGAGCCATATGAGTAATATAAACTTGATACTTCTATTTATGAGCCATATGAGTAATATAAACTTGATACTTCTATTTATGAGCCATATGAGTAATATAAACTTGATACTTCTATTTATGAGCCATATGAGTAATATAAACTTGATACTTCTATTTATGAGCCATATGAGTAATATAAACTTGATACTTCTATTTATGAGCCATATGAGTAATATAAACTTGATACTTCTATTTATGAGCCATATGAGTAATATAAACTTGATACTTCTATTTATGAGCCATATGAGTAATATAAACTTGATACTTCTATTTATGAGCCATATGAGTAATATAAACTTGATACTTCTATTTATGAGCCATATGAGTAATATACTAAGATACTTCTAAGTCATAAAATATTAATGATCTTGTCATTTTAGGTTATTGTTAAATTATTTTTATTTATGCATGTATAATAAACAATTAAACATGTTATTTTATGATTATATGTAAATAGAAATATGTGATCTAAATAAAAATAAAGTGATTAAAAAAATAAATAAATTAAATCCTGTGGATATAAACAAAATCAATATTTTTGTTATTTTGCTTATATTTCAATATGGCATTATTTTAGTTTCAAATGTTACAAGCGGCAAGTTTAAACTACCTCCAAGTAAAAAAGAAAGTGGTAATTGTTCTTTACGCGTAATTGCACGTGATAGTTATGGTGTTCAATCTGATCCATTTCCAATGATACCATTAGAAGTTCAGGTATTTTTTTAATATAACTTTATTTAATAGAATATTTAGACAAAAAGCACAAAAAACAATCTTAAAAACTACAAATATTAGGCAATAAAGAAAAAAGTCAATCAACTCTACATAAGTCTAAGTCTTTTTGTGTTGTTAAATTATCTATCTACACCTTTTTAAGAGTTCCCTAAAAAATCCTAAATAGGTTGAGCTTCAGAATCTCATAATTTTTTATCGTATATTCTTTTATTTTTTAACCATCTACATTACGGAGTAAAATTTACTGTACCCACTTTGTACCTTTTTTCTTCTTCTGTTTTTGTTAGTTTAAAGTGTAGCAATCGTTTTTGGAGTGATTTAGAGGAGTTTGATCTTATTCATTTTAATAAGAGGAGTTTAACCTTATTCATTTTAACAAGAGAAGTTTGACCTCATTCATTTTAATGAGAGGAGTTTGACCTCATTCGTTTTATCTCTAAAGTAGTTTTCCTAATTTTGTGAATCAAATATACCTTGGAACAGTCAATCTGGAACAACGAAGTGAAGTGGTTTAAACACTCTTCTTAACAACTGTCACCTTTGTCTGAACCCTTATTTAAAGAATCTAGTACATTCCTAAAGTTTCTTTTATCCTACTACAAGACTGCAAAGCAAACTGGTTAAAACAGCTTCATTGTGAAAAAATCATACTTATGATTCAATATACATTCCACCAACATTTACTTTTACATTTTTTATAATTACCAGGATTGTAAATGTTTGGACTCTTTAATAAAAAAACACTTCACCCTAGTTTTAAACCACATTAGGTAGTAGGCCCCAACAACATATTCTACAATGTGTTTTAAATTAGTAAAGTATTGTCCTGTTTGTCCAACAACTGAGATCCAGGTTTTCAGCAATCTTTTTGCATCTGTTGTCAGAGTCAGCAAGGTTAATGGTTCTATAACTAAGCTAATAATAAGATATGAATAACTATTAGTAACTCAAATAATTGTTATTTTAATTAAAGTTTTTATTAAAACAATAAGTTCAATGCCAAATATTTGTTAATGGATTTTGATTTTTATTTTTTGTCGTTTTTTTTTATGTTTACAAAATTTCAACGATTTTTATACAATAAATTTTTTTTTTACATGTTATTATTTTTTTTATTTGGTTTACTGATTGTTTTTAATTATTTTTAATGGTTTAAACACATCTTTATATGCAGGTTTTTCTTCAGGTTTATGGGACTCCTTCTGAAGATCTGACTTTGAGCTTGATTAGGGAACTAAAATTGAGTAATTTACCCAACGAACAATCGTTGTTAGCAAACCGCATTGTTGTTTTATTGGAAATGAATAGTTCCATTTCTCTTGAGGTAATTGAGTTCAAGGGAGTTTTCTTAAGTTCTTTTGAGTTTTCTTAAGTTCTTTTGAGTTTTTTTTAAGGAAAGCAAGTTTAACTACTTAATTATTTGCATGTAAGATAATTATTTTGTATTTGTATCACTTGTATATAGAAAAATGTATGCGCAATTTTTAAAGTTTCTTTTACTTAATCATGTTTCATACAATTTCAGACAACTTACTTTTTTTAGAATAAGGAATTAATAGGAAATTACCTTCTTTCTGTTTGGATCGACACCCCAGAGGATGCTAACCTGGTTGTACAAAATATTCAAACTGAGGGAAATGATGTAAATAGTTTGTATTTTAATTTTATTTAAACATTTGGTTGTAATTTTAGTTTTCAGCTATTCATCACAGCAATAGGAGTAAAAGCAATAAATTTTACAACAATAGGAGTAGAAAGCAATAAATTTTACAACAATAGGAGTAAAAACAATAAATTTTACAACAATAGGAGAAAAACAATAAATTTTACAACAATAGGAGTAAAAAATAATAAGTTTGAGTATAATCTTTTTACATGCAACTATATCAAAGCACTCAATTAATTCATCTAAATATAATTTATTTGACTTTGTTTTTTAGACAGTTGCTTTGAAAACCCTAGATAAAGTTTTGGATCAATTTAATATGCTGAACGCCAATGAGTTGTCTGACATATCTGTCCACATTTTGGCAAAAACATCTGCATTAGGGGTATTTTTTTTTCATTGAAATTTAAATATAATACTATTAATAATATTAAAATGTGTAAATGTGTAAACTTATGTTTGTAAAATAAATTTGTTTTAAAACATTTTTTTAAAACTAGAACCCATTGTTCAGTCCACAAATTTAATTTTTACTTCTATTTATTTATTATTGATGAAATTTAGTTTTTATTGTTGATTTTTATTATTATTCAAGTTTCAAGAAATTGAAACCTAAAGAGTAAAAAAACTGGATAAAGAATAGTGATAGTAAAGATTGCTTCAGACTAAAATTAAAGATTTTTTTAGATTAAAGATTTAAGTTGTATATTAAAGAATAAAGATTGCTTTAGAATAATGAAAGTAAAGATCTAATTGGATAAAGAATAATAAAATTAAAAATTTCTAAATATCAAATTGTGTCTTGAAACTTAACAATGTACAATGTTTAATAATTATGACATGTCTAGTCACTAACTATTACAGTTACTAGAGCATAGCATATTCTTTGTGTTGTTTATATTTATGATTAATATACATAAACACATCACTATCTATTACTTAAAATAAATCTAGACTACAGTTCGTTTTGTTTTTTCTACAAGCTGAATACAGTTCCTGCATAACTTTTATTGAAAAACAAAAAGATGACATAATAAAAACAAAATAGTTCAATGAATTTCAAATTTCAAATTTCAATGAAATTGCATATTCTGCACAGTGGTTGCTTCTTGGTATCTTCAGTGGTGATGGTTCCTGTTTCTAGTTTTTCTCCAATACCTGTAACCCCCTCTTGTGATGTTTCAGTATTTTTACAAGTTACTGTAGTCTTTCTTGTTGTAAAATTGATCAGGAAACCAATACTTTGTCCAGTAATACGAAACAAGTATGCAGATTTTCTATTATATTGGCCTTATTATAGGTATGAGAACAAAAGCAATGAAAACAAAAATAAAAGAACAGAATTTGGCAGCTTTTTTTGTTGATACTGTTGAAAATATCACTAAATTCACTGCAACTTTACTCTTGTTATGTTTCCTTTTTGATGGGCAAATATGTTTATCATTGTTATCATAATCGTTTTTAAATTCATTTTCTATAACTTTAGAGTTATCCGAGATGAGTATGATACTGATGTTGATAGTTTGTAGGGCAATTTTTTTCTCTTTAAAAAATGAATTGTTTATTTGCCTGCTTCTTTACAGGTGGCATAACCAATTTTTCTTGATTTCTACTTGTAGATAATAATCTTCAGCTGGCAATCATACTCCATAAGCTTTTGTAAAATCAAACAGTTTGTCTAATGAGTCATATTTTCCTGCTTAACATATTCATTGTAAGTTTGTAAAAAAGAAAAAAGTTTTCTGAAAAGTTTTCTGAAAAGAAAAAAGTTTTCTTTTCATAGGGAAAATTTAATTTATTACTTCATAAATTTTAAGTTTCTTAGGAAATGTTCGCTATTCTTTCCCTTCGTCCTTTGATTTCAGCTTCAAGAAACTAGTATCGCCCAACTACTTGCCTTTTAAGTATTATTCTGCATTTTTCTTTTAGTAAAAATTCTTGTGAATGCACTGCACCTTTCTTTTGTGCGACTGTTAAAATTTTCGGCCTAAATTTTCTTATTGTTATTGTTATTATAAAGATCAAAGAAAAATTTCTTGTTGACTTGTGCAATCAGATTTTCTTTAAATTTTGACCAGAGAATTTAACAACTTTAATTTAAGAATTTTAATTTAAAAATTAATGAGTCATTTTTAGTTTTAAATAAAAATAAATTGTTATTTATTACAGTGCTAAAATTTTCTTGCGCAATATTGTCTATAAAGTTATATTAGTTCTAAAAATATAAATAAATATATACTGATTGCTTTCAATGTTTTATGTAATTTATGTAAATTGTTCAATACATGGATTTTTACATATTTCTTTATAGGAGGTGCTAAAGTCCAGTAACAGTATTTAATCACCAAGTAATATCTGCTTAATTAATTAGTCAATCCCAATAAAAAAATTCTGTCTCTATATCACTTTCTTAACCTTATCAATCAGTCATTCGACAATGACAACAAAAACTGTTGTTATTGTCAAATGACTGCACAGAAATTGCTTCTATGTTCTTGGTCAGTGGTTCTAGAACAATCTACGCATTTCTAGAGTGTTCTATGTAAATCTAAACATATTTAGAGTTATCTCAAAGGGATCCCCAAGTGCCGAGACAAGTTGTTTTCATATTAAAGAAAATGTTTAAAAAAAAACATTCGGTATTTTTTTGAATAAAACTAAATAATAAAGCATACCAATAAAATTAAAATTTATTGGTCTTTTAGTTAAAGCTTACAGACTCCATTTTTTTTTGGTTCTCCGAGTCTGTATAATCTTAGCCGCAATCTTCAGATTCTTATTTTTAGTTTATAAAACCCTCGGAATTAGGGTCGGCATTCAGCAATGCCGACCTAACTGCCGACCTAAAAGTGTTTGAGGTTGGCAAAATATTGCCGACCTTGTTTCTATGTTTTATGGTTAGACCTTTGTATCAATTAGTTTTTGCAGACCTGATGCCGACCTCTAAAAGATTAAGGGTAGCAAAATATTGCTGACCTCAGTTTTCTTATTTCCGAGGGTTGGTTTGTATGGTTTAATAGAGTTGCTTGTTTTACATTTAGTTTATATTTAATATATATGGTTTAATGTGGTTCTTTGTTTTATATTTATATTATAACTAACTTTTGCACATTTTAGTGCAAATATTAGTTTTAACTTTAATTTAGTTTGATTTATATGGTTTTTATTAACTAATTTTATTTATATTTAGTTTCTACTTAATTCTGTTTCTATAGTTTATTCAAGTCACTTATTTTATATACACTTTATACTTATATTAGTTTATAAATTTTAGTAAAATTATTTTCTTAGTATTTAGTTTATATTTAGTTAAAACCAGTAAGTTTTACTGCAAATAATTTTTATATTTGATTTGTTTTATGCGGTTTAGTGGGAATATTTCTATTTTATGTTTAATTTTTGATTAATTTTACTTAGTTGATCCAATTCAGTCTAATTCTTTAGTTAAAAATTAATAAATTAAATAAATTTCTAAAGTATATATTTTTTGTGCCCTTTTTTATACAATTTATACCTTGCATTAAATTACTAATTATAAGAAATGTGTTCAGAAAAGCCTAGTAGCTACATAAAAAAAGGTTGCTATGACAATGTTAATCATTAAACTAGAGTATTAATATTTAAATGACCAATAAGCAGCAGAGTATTAATATTTAAATGAGCAACCACTAGTAAGCATCACCATCTGAATTAATATTGTTTTTCTCTTTGCACTGCACAGTGGGCCATATAGTGGGCAAAACTGTTTTTCAAAATGTGAAAATATTAGAAATTTTTTTTTGTATATTGCTGCAAAGTCTCTAATAACTAAATTAAAATTATATTAGGCTGATTTTTTTTTTTTTACATCAGTTTTGGTTTAGAAGCGCATTAACTGTATCGCTGTTGTTTTTATGTTGAAAACTGTAAATTTTATGTGTTTTTTTAAATCCATTTTACTTTTACAACATTTAATTTAAATAATTCTTGTAAATCTTTATTAGTACATCAATAATTTAAAGTTTTATGCAAATATTAATTAAATGATATATTTATTAAAGTTGGCATACGGTAATTTATATTGTATACTTATTTTTCTCAACTATTTATAAAAAATTAATTGAAAATGTTCTAGAACTTTTAAATGACGGCAACTGACATTTAACCATGATGACAACCATGTAACATTATGTATATATCTGTATAAGAATAAATGTATTTAATTTTTTTTGCAACTGTTTGCAGTTGCAATGTCTAAAATAAATATTAATAAAATTAAGGTTCATGTCTAAAATATATATAATATACTAAAAAAATAAATAAAAAATAGATATTGCAACTGTTTGCAGTTGCAATGTCTATTTTAATGGTGCATATTTAGCAAAACTGTAATCGTATCACTGGTTTTTTTTGTTAGGGGAAGGGAAAGAGTTGCTTTTTTTTTCAGTATTTTATATTATATTTGCAAAAATTTATATTATATTTTATGATAAAATTCAAAAATAAGGAAAAAGGTTTGGAGAGAAGGGTGTGTGTGTGTGTGTGTGTGTGTGTGTGTGTGTGTGTGTGTGTGTGTGTGTGTGTGTGTGTGTGTGTGTGTGTGTGTGTGTGTGTGTGTGCAATGCACAGCTCACCAGAACAGCTATTTTTGAAGAAAAACTAGTATAGAATTTAACCAATATTGTTATATTAACTAAATTTTGAATTAGTAAAAATATAAGGTCTCTACTTTAAGGGATATTTTTTTAAATATTGATTGCTATGGATACTTCATTTTTTATAGCAACATGTTTTTTGTTCTCATATTCAGTTTTATAGAAAGTTCATAAATTACTCTGTATTTGAGCAAATGTTAAATATGTTACGAATGTTAAATATAACTGAGAATTTAATATATTACAGCAAACTTCATCTATAAATTAAAGTATCGTAAACCAAGAAAGGTCAAGAAAGTTAGGTGGGCTGAAAAAAAATAAGGAAAGCTAAAAGAATTAGAAATATAATGAAAAATGGGAGTTTTGGGTTGGTTGGTTGGGGGGGGGGGGCATTTGTCCCTTTGCCAAGATCGCAAAGAAGTTGTCAAGAGGAGTTTTTGGTAAACCAATTATGTTATGATATTTTTGATATTTTTTCAGATTCCTTAAAGAAACGACATGCAGTGTTGCCATCATTACTAATGCCAGAGCCATTGGCTTTAGCCATGTCAACAACCAAACCGAGTTCGTCAATTAATTTGTGTTGAAATTCATTCTTCTTTTTTTTTACAGACTGTTTTTCAACAGCTCCATATACTCGCCATTTCTTTATTTCAAATTTGTAGGCAACATGTAAAAAGCATTCGATGCACTTAATCGAGGCATGTAATGTTGACAAGCCATACTTAAGTTCAGTTTGTAAATTGTAACT